GCACGTTGACATGAATATGCTGAGCACACTCGGCCCAAACAAAGGGCGCATGAACATCCGAACAGCTGACCCCGGTCTACTCAGATCGTGTTGTAACACTGTGTCTCAGACTTGTTTCAGATGGGTGTAGAGCGAGCTTATGCCTTGCTTCCAATTTGGGAGTGGTAGTTTGTGCGGATCCATTTTCGGATTTCTGCGATTGGTTCTTCATGATGAATCGGATGACTTCGTGCCTTCCATGTAGTGCGGGGCCTGTCATGTTTCACCCGTGCCTTTGCCTTTTTCTTTGTGCTTGGTCAGAGCACAGGCTGCTGGCTGCCAATCCGGCTTGAGTCGCGGTTGCTCCCCTTCTTCATCTGTTTTGGGGTTGATTTCCCAACTGTGAACAACTTAAATCTTGGTTTGCCTTCGGACCCTTGAGCCGGAAAACAACGGGATCCACATGCCATGGGGAGTGAGGCTGGTTTGCTTTTGGGTTCCGGGCTCCTCTTGTTTTTGGGGGTCCCTCTTTGTTTTCCACTAACCAGGCAAAAACTGGAATGTATTGCTGGGGTCCTAGTTCCACCCAAGCCATTTGAAATGAAATGAATCAGTTTTCTATGTTCCCCTGGTTGGTCTTAAAAGGGGGTTTATCACTACTGGAAATAAACCTATTTTTCCAGGAGGCTTAAGCAAATGGAAGAGGCGAGTTTGAGGATGGCTTGGGTGGTCGCGGTGGTACCCGAATAAATTGATCCATCCCTACTTTGTTGGTCCATACCGTCCGAGCAGTGTGTTACTCTGCACCATCGCCTTGAGGGTGGCAACCAATGGCAACCAATGGTCAGGTAGTCCTTGGTGGGTGGTTTGGATTGGTGGTCCTTGTAGGGGGTACATGGGAACCTGCCCCAAATCAATGCGGAGGTACAATTTGACGAGAGTGCCAGTTTCTCACTTGTTGGTTTCCCCTTTCTGGCAACCATTGTTGGGCCTCAAAAGATCCCAAAAGTTAACCTTTCATTTGCGTGTTTGTTTGGCAAGTGAGGGAATTATCCTTTGGTTGAAGCTGCTGTTCTTTTGGTTGGTTTTTGGAGGCACCAAAAGAAAGACCGCAATCCGTTTTTGCGCTCCCTAGTTTCAAGACAAACCCCCCACATTCTCTGGGGGTCTCCCGCAGTCAACGGAAGACAGGGCCACCAAAGCAACCCTTTTTGTATTTTCGGGGCAGGCTAAATGCAGACCAGAAGCTAAACATGTTTTTACGTACCCCAGATCAACCAGTCCGCGACCCCAACTGTGCTGTTTCTTCGTTCTTCGGTGGCCGACTTTTAGCCGAGTAAAACTGGCAAAGAAGACCCAGTGCATCTAGTTGCCCCTATTGTAGGCAGGATTAAGTCCTCTAGGTTTTACATGCTGGGTTTGCTTGGTTACCTGCTATAGGGTTGAAGTAATTTCAAAGTAGTTGAATGTCTCTCCCAACGCGTTTGGGTCAGGGGCTTCAAGCTTCAAAAACGCATACTCGCACCCCCTTTCAAATTCAACAGGGAATGTTGTTTCTCCTTTTTCCCCAACAGCTGAAAGCTATGGATTTGGTCTCTGATAGATGGGCTCGATCGGGGTGGTTTGAGGCAGCTTTCAGGGAGGGTTCCGGAAGGGTTTCAGGGGCTTTTGGCGCTCTTGGGGATACCACCTGGACGTTGAAATCTCTCTCTGAACCCCTGTCTTCACTGTTCTTGGCAAGTTACTTTGGTATTTTTTTGTGGTTTTGCTCAGTTTTAGTAGGCGGCCAAAAATGCAGTCAGCTTTTTGGACCATACCATTCGGGTTGTGAAGCTCCCACCCCTTCCCTCCCCCAAAGCCTCCCCGCGAAGCTCCCCTCCCCGTCCCTCCCCAAAGTCCCGCGACGTTCGGTCAGAGGCCATCGCCTTCTACTCCGCTGCTTTGGATCTGCTGGAGGAGCAACTGGAATTCCAAGCTTTTCCCTTCAAACACTTCCTGAATTCATGAACTTGAAGCTTTTCGAAGACCATTTTAGTGGTAAATATAAAGTTCTGATTTTCGTTGGGCCATCCACTCAGCCAGTGAGCCTGAGGTGGGGCAGTGCACAACCATTTTGGAAGTAGGGGTCAAAACTATGGACCCTTTTTGGGCCCAGGGCCCGCCTTGAGGGTACCAAAAAAAGGGCCCCTACGTTTTGAGAACCTTGATATGGCACAATTCCCCTCGCGCCCTGTTTAGTTTCCCTGGCAGAAGAAATTGGACGCCACCTACTTTCACCTTGTGAGATTTATGCCCTACCCCACGGTGGATGAGAATTTGCCCTTCGAAGTTTGCTGAGATGATGAAGCAAGTGTCTCCGACAATGCTGGAGCCAGCAAATTCAACCGCAACCTTCAAATGCTCACCACGGCTTGCTAGTCCCTGAACCCATTGCAGAATCATGAGCTCAGGCTGCTGGAAGTGAGCAACAGCCCTCCGTTCGCGGGGCATCTCTAGCGTACTAGTTGTAGCTATTAGTTGGGAATGCCACTGTGGTGGCTCGTCTTTGTTTTAGGGTACCGTTTTTTGGGTTGGGTTAAATCAGAAAGGTATCAATTTGGTGGTCCCGCATATTGTAAGCCACATCCCCGTCTAATTCTTACTATTTCCAAGTCAGACCATCTGGAATCCTTTCCGAGAGAACAACTGCCACCTTTTGGCCCGCACGGTGCTTTTGGCCATATGGAACTCCATGTTGCGCGTGTCTTTTTACCAGCAGATCTAGAGCCCAGACTCCCAGACACCCAGTCGTGATCTTTGGTCTTGCCTTTGGATTCGGGCCTTTGAAATCAAGTCGCGCCTTTCTCCCATGGCTACAGAAAGTCTGGGACGGGCCTAGTTGCTATTTGCTCTGATACAAAAGGGACACCCCTCAAAGTTGATCAAGCCAGGGGGATGTCCCATATTGCTATGGCGGATTTCGGCTGGTTCTCAGCCATGTCATTTGCCGGTGGAGTGACTCGTTTCAAATGCCCCGATGTTGTGATGGCGATGGGGTCACCTGGGTGAACAATTGCCTTGAACTTAGGTCAAGCTTACATGTGGCATGTGGCATCTTTTTTTTAGCTGACTTTGGTTTTTTGTTCTCATAGCAGCCCAACCCCATCCCCCAAACCCCGTCCGGTTCCAACGGGGAAAAAGCGAGCAAACCCCATCACCTGAGGGCACTGAGGGCACTGAGGGCACATGGTACCCATTTTTTCGGCTGTCGACCACTTTGGGTGTGCCTTTTCTAGTTGGAACCCCCCAAAATGGGCGGTGTTCCTTTGGCCTCCTGGCCGCCTTCCTTGACTTTTGGGGCATTCCGAGCGTCCAAGAAAATTCACGTCGCTCAAAGCGGCAGCCGGGCTCCCAGCTCCGAACTTGATTTCTAGTGGCTGGTCATTTTCTTTGGTGCATTTTGCCAAGGGCTGTTAGGACGTTAACTTTTTGCCAACTTTTGGGTTTTCCGTAAACCACTAAAAGTTAAACTTTTAGCAGGGGAGCAGAAAGCAGCCGAGTTTTGGTGACCTAAACCGGGTAAATGGAATCACTGGAAAAAGGTATCAACTATTCCTATTGGGGAACGGATCTGTAGAACTTGTTTAATCTTCGCGGGTTTTCGTGCGCTGGTCCCGGAGGGTGGTTTTTGAATAGGACTCGGCTGGGGCGAAATGGAACCGAACACGGCCCCAGTGAGCCACACCCTGTCTAAGACTGGCTGCAGAACCCGGCATTTTTTGCAGACCCTTTGGCATCCCCAAGTGAACCCTGAACCCTGCAAGCTCTGAGCAGGAGGGCGAGAGCCGGGGCCGCAGCGATGCAGACGCCCCTGACTGGATTTGCCCTTGCCTTTGCAAATGCTCATTGTGGACATGTGTGTGTGTGTGTTTTTGGAGGGCACCTTTCTTGGGGTTGGCTTTTTGAAAATTCCACCCACATCAGCTGACAAGTGTCTTACTGGGAGTCAATTTTCAACTCTTTGTTTGTTTTCCGATGTCCTCTTGAATAGAAACCTGCGTGCATTGGACTCACACGGCGCCGCTCGGAGGCCGCGGAAAATTACGATTCGATTGATTCCCCCTTGACAGCAACCTTGCAAGGACACCCTCAAAAGAGAAAAAGCGATGTGACATTTCAGGGAAGCATTGCCAGACTTGAAGACTATTGATATTTCAACCTCGCCGCGAAAGGCTGCGCAAAATGCAAAACCTGCGCCCAGCTCCTCTCTTGATTTAAAGGTTCGTTGGGCTCCTCAGCGTCAAAATCTGGCCGTGGTAAATCATGTGGCCAAACAGCAGCCTGATGAAACGTTAACAGTCCAAGCCCTCGAAAGTTGTATCCCCAACCACTCGGTGAGTGGACTATACGGGAGGTGGCCGAGACACTGAATTATGTAGCCTTGTTGGCAATGATGCCATCCCGTTGCCCTTGCTGCAATCGCCCCCGCTCTATCATCCTGCTTACAATCTAGGAGTGGCTGATTTGGGCTTCCTTGTCACTGCTAGTATCGAACATCAAAATCCAATGGCTGCAATCCAAGGCAGTGAGTAGCACAGGGACCCCCGAACAAATTGGACCACTGGGGTCGAGGTCAGAGAAGAAAACACGATGAAAGCACGTTCTGCATTCCATACCGCTACCCAATCATGCTACGGTGTCTTGTTCAAGTCGGAAAGCATGTTGGGGACATCTTTATGCAATCCTTTTACATTTGCCAACCGCAGCGCGGCATCGAGCCCCGGCAGCCGGATGTCCAATCGAGGCACAGCAAGTGAGTTTTAGGAGCAGCTCAACCACGTAGCACTAGCCTGGGAGACATATCGCTATTACATGCTGTGTTGTATCCTTTGTGTACCCGCTTTGAGCCAAGAGAAGCTTTTTCGGGTTGAGATTGGAGACTAGCGGGCGGAAGATGGCCTTGCAACATTGTGCAGATCAACATGCCAATTAGAGTGCGTTCCCTGCGGATCGACCTAATTTTCTCGCTGTTCTTGCGGGGCATGGGCATGGTTGCTCGTAGCCCCTGGATTGATCCCCACACTAAAAGGCAGAAAGCTGGCCTCGGTGTGGGTATTTCGCTTCCAGGGAGAAGCAGGGAATGTCGAATGGGACATGTGAGGCCGGTACGTTCTTCAGACTTCACCAACCTGGACCCGGCGGATTTGAGAGGCTACCCCTAGTATCCACTGTGTTGAGCCACACGCGAATCGTCATCATTAATCAGTTCACCAAGATTAATGACACCAGCACAAGCAAATGGTAATGATAATGATAATAATGTAATAATACCTGCATTTGATCCATTTTCTAGATCGATAAAATAGGTATTACCATTTACACAAGGTGGTAAAGGTAATGCTAGTGATTCGTATGCGATAGTAGCACTTTGCGGCGAGTTTGCTCGTAACAAACGCAATTGGAAAAGCTCTCGAGCCTTCCCTCTCGCCCCCCAACCACCCCCCCAAACGCCACCACCCCCAACCCCCCACCCGCCCACCCCCCACCAGCCCACCCCCCCCGCCCAACCTACCCCCCCCCCCCCCACCCCCAACCCCCCGAAACCCGCACCACCACCCCCCCCCCCCACCCCAACACCCGCTCTTTTCTCACCCCCCCCAGGCCGGCCGCCAGAAGCGGAGGATCCCAAGTACCTGGCAGCGCCTTGTCGCGAACATGTCCTTGGAGTGGTGTCCTTTTCTTGGCTGCTATCGGGTTGGATCTTTGAACTTTAACTTTTTGGGACATCAAGTTGGGTCCAAAGCCACAAAAGGTTAACCTTTTTGCGAAAGGGTCAACAACACTTTTTAAAGCCTTCATGTGCGTTTTTGCCCCTTGGAAAGAATGACAAAATATCTCCAGTAGTGATCGATTCCCTTTAAAACCAACAAAAGAAAATTAAAAATAGTCTTAAGCAAATGGAAGCCTTTATAAGCTAGTTTTTGGTAGTGGCTGACTGTCAAGCTTCTGAGCTGTTATTTGTCTTCGTTCAATGGCCGGAACCAAGAGAGAAGTTCGAACTAGTAAGGAAAAGTCCCGGACCGGGAGTCCTTTAGTGAGACAGCGCCAGCCCGGCCATTTCCTTGCAATCCCTCAACCGCCGAGGTATTTGTGGAGTTTGTTCGTTTTTAAGAAAGATACCTTAAGTTTCTTTGCTTGAATCGCTTCCCCTATTCGATAACACATTTGTTCCGAGGATCGCAGGGTTCCCCTTTTCGGCTCCGCTCAGGAAATGAGTCACTACCGAGTTTGTTTAATTTGAAAATAGATGTATATGCTAAACATCAGGTCTGACAGTTTTTGCAAATGGCCGAACTTGTTTGTGGGGGATTGTCCTCCTCTCATCACCGAGTAAATCTCATGCAGCTTTGTTGACATCCAGTCGCCAAAAGCCTCATACAGGGCTGTCTTAAAACAAGATTGGGCGCAAGCATCAGGAGACATTAGGTCTCGGTATTTCCCAAGATTTGCATATGAGGGCCCCGGCCTTTCCTCATAACCGCTAGGGTTCAGGTTGGAGGTTTGGGCTTGAACCCCTCGTTCTTATCGGTTTGGCGCCCCAAAGCTCCAAACCAGCAAGCCAAACCACCCAACTGCTGAACGGTTTCCTCCCATAGCGAGAGCCCGGATCCAGAGGTGCTATTGAACAACCGCGCGCAGTGCTTCATCATGCTGTGCCGCGAGACTCACGGGGAGGACAGGAAGAACGACGTCGGCCACGGTCGCAAGTTTAAAAGTGCATGCCCCCTGCGAGTTGTCCTTTGAGAAAGCCCACCAAGCAGCGCTACCTTGATATAGTTTGGCTGTTGGTGTTGGTTGTTCGTGTAGCGCGTAAAGTACCATCCTGGAGGCAAGTAAGTAGTGCCATTCTACCAGAAAGCCCCAGGTTGCTGACTGCGTACTAGGCCAAACACCTCTTGGGAGCATTTCACGTCCAAAACTGCTGCTTGGAGCGGCCATTGTCAACCAAAAAGGGACACCTGGCATGGCTTTGTTTCAAATCTGAGGGGAGCCCCAAAACAAGTTTCCTGTTTGCTTCCCTTTGAAAGGAGCCACAGAAGCAGCATCTCTGGGTCCAGCATGGGGAAGCGACCATAGGGACTAGCACTCTCTGGCTTTGATTCAAGCTTGAGACATTCGCATACACATAATTGTTCCAATCGGCATCAGTTTCCCTGAAGGGACACCCTCTTTGATTTTACTCGTTCCAGGTCTTGTTTTGCGCAGATTGTGTTTGGGGCCCTTCGATGAAGAGCGAATCAATTCCCCACTGCAAGACGGACACACCCTGATTAGCATAGGCTTCTGAATGGGCAATGTGAACTGACGACCGGAGGATTTCGGATGACTCTTTTCCTTTTCAGGAACCTTTTGTCCACTTCCATGCCTGGAAATTGGGAAAGAGGGTCTCACTACTTGTCATATGGGTCTGTGTCAAAATGTAGGGACCCACCAAATTGTGATCTTCGAGCCTGCAAACAAAAGTTAGCCGCCCATATTGCACAGTTCAGTGTCGCCAATTCTTGTCCCATTGTTCGGCTTCCCTAAAAATCGTCCCAAACAAGTTTTAAGATGGGTCCCATTTTCTTCTTGGTTTGCAGCCATCCCCTCAGGTGATTAGGTGTTTGTTGTTCAGTGGTAGTGTCCACACCACTACAGGTAAATCTTTTAGTAGGGGATCTGGCGGTGTTTTCTATCTTTTTCTTCTTGGGTGTTCGGTCAAGTTAGCAAGTGGTTGGCATCCTAGGCTCCAACCCATTCACCAGGCTATCTGCACATGGTGACACACACACACACACATAGCAGCAGGTAACCCAGGTTGCTCACCACTTCACCCGCCGAATCGAAGACAGTTGGGTCCTCATCTTCCATTTGCTTAAGAATATGTTTGATTTTCCCTTGTTGGTTTTCAAAGGAAATTATCACTACTGGAAATATTTCAAGAAAAACAAATCCCAGGGGTCTTAACCAAACCATGCCATCCCTCCGCGCATAGGACGCCGCCATCGGGCGGGAGGCCCGGACCTACGCCATGCGCGCGAACATGGACACGGCCAAGGCCATCGAAGTGGCCGCGAAGCCCAGAAAAACGGAGAGTTCGAGGAACGTTTTTCCCCCGAGTCGGCGGGAAAATTGGAAAACTTGGTTTTAGTGGGGATTGTTCACTTTTGGAGGGCAACACTCCCCTATTTATAAACTGGGGTTGATTAATAGGGGGTGAACATTACCTAAATACAGGGGTTTGGGCTGTGGCTACTTGGAGCAGTTCCTAAAAATAGGTTCCACTGGCTTCCATGTGCTGTTTTAAAGGGAATCCATGACTACGAGCAATATGGCATTTGTTTCAATCTGAAAACCCACCCATCCAGAAACCTGCCATACCACAACAAAAGAACGGCCCAATCTTACAACCCACACCTGTCCATGACCACTGGCAATGTGGTATTTGTTTTTTGGGGATGTAAGCAATCTGGGTTGTAGCATAAACACACACCTGAATGTGCCTACTCCCACCCCATACCGCGCTATGCCCGTCCTCAACCCAACCTCAACCTCCCATACACCCACGGAGTTCCTAGCCCAACCACACCCCAGGCCCAAAATCTCACTCAGCATCACTCAACCCTTAAAACTAGTTCTTTTAACTTATATTTAATTCATTTTCTGTATAATAATAATTTAACATGTTTCACCCACATCCAGGCCATCCCAGTGCAAACGCACCCAGAACCCACCTTAAACTTACCCACCCCGCAAGTGAACCCGCGTCTTTTGTTGTTTGGAGGCGTCTCGAGAAAAAAAGAAAAAAAAAAAACGGATTTACATGGATTTGCTGGGTTCAGTGGCAACATTTGTGTGGTGGCGTCCACTGAAATCGCCACGGAAATGGCGGTCCACTGGGAAATGGAGCTCGGGACTCTTGCTTGCCCAGAACCTGGAAAGCAAATCCCTTCCACCCCCCTTTGGCAGCCTCAGGTTTTGTAGCAGTATGTTGATAGACATCACATGCATGGTCGAAGCTCACCTTTTGGGGTTACTGCGGCATAATCCTGGACCAGTTGTGGGGATGTTAGACCACCAGCATACGGGTTCCAACTCAGGGGGCTATGACTCACCATGTCTCACACAGACAATGAGCTTCCTGTCGGGGTGTCGCGGGATATGTGAAGAACCCAAGGGTTCCGTCGGTTCCGTGGGCATTCTTTCAAAGTCAGCCGGAAGATGTGCATTTCTTCTCGTGTTGAGTGAGTCGCCTTCAAGCCAACATGCTCAGCCATCCGGTCTTGGTGCCTTTGGTTTCCCTTGCTGACCCGAATAGGCTCCAATAAACAGGTTCCATGCGGAGAATCATACATGCATCTGAAAGGAGCCCATTTGCTAGAACGTAGTTGTGGGGGCATCCCAGCTTTACTGGTTGCAGGAAGCCCTTGCTTCGAGGTTTGGATTACCTTTGAAGCCCTTGCAAACCACAAATTGTGTGGAGCTGATCAAGCCCCAAGCCACAGCAACTTTATGGAGACCGTACATACCCTAAACGGCAAAGCAAGTGGTTGTGTTTCCATTAAAACGCCCGGCTAGTAATCAGTGGGGTGAAAACTGTGGGGTGACAGCTGTGAAAACCTTAGTAAGACACTTTGGTCCATTACAAAGCCCAAGCTACTTGGACCCTATGCTGAGGTAGCCAGAGACCACCCCCCAAACCCCCGAATCCAAACCCCCAAAAACAGTCAACCTTCTTACTCCAGCAACTTGTGGTTTTGTTTTTCCGCAACCTGGGCTAGGTCCCCCAGTAGTGCCCTTTTACCCTTTTTTAGTTGGGAGGGTTCCCCTTCTAAAATAGACAAAACAGAAAAAATATCGAGTACCAACTTATTCCAACCTCTCAAATCTGGAGGACCTAGTTTAGATGGGTTTCCAAAAAACAAGCGAACAAGAAATAACACAACCTCTTACCCCAGCAGCTCGGATTTGTTTTTTTCCGCAACTTGGGTTCAGCCAGGGCTTCAGAGAGGCCTCCGAGTTTTTGTTCCGGATTCGCGAGAAGATGCCGAGTAAAACACGACCTTTTTCTGGCCCGGACGAAAACAAAAACACCAGCCAAAAAAACAATCTCCTCAAAATATAAAAATACCATCAAAAAAAACAACTCAAAAAATCCATCCCCCCCCCCAAATAATCATAATAAACAAAAGCGAAATGAATCCGCACCCATACCTTGGCGCCGTTCTCCGAGGACCCCACCAGCGGCAAGGCCTACTACCGCCGCGGCTGCGCGGTGCTGGGCATGGCGCCCTCGGCGAGCCGCGCCAAGGAGGCCATCGCCTGCCTGGAGACGGCCCTCACAGGCGAGCTGAGCTCCCAGCTGATATGAATATGGCAGTGGCTCAAAATTAAACAGGGGGGGTTACGCAGGTTTTGGTCCATGTTTCCACTTGCAAGGCGTCCATTTTGGGCACCAGTTGTTTGAGGGGACCTTTGGTGCATTTTGCCAAGGGCTGTTAGGACTGAACAACTTTTTGCCAACGAAATTGGGTTTTTCCACTAAAGCACCAAAAGTTAAACTTTTAGCAGGGGAGCAGAAAGCAGCCGAGAATATGTATGTTTATGAATATGTGTGTGTGTGTGTGTGTTTTTTTAGTTTCCCTTGGTTTTAACAGGATCTTATCACTCTGGAACTGTTTTTTCCCCCTTGGTTTTAAGAGACGAAAAGACAGGGAGAGAGAGCTTCTATTTGCTTAAGAATATATTTTTGGATTATTTTCCTCTTGTTGGTTTTAAAAGGAACTTATCACTACTGGAACTGTTTTTCTTTATTCCCCCTTGGTTTTAAGAGACGAAGAGAGAGAGAGAGAGAGAGAGAGAGAGAGAGAGAGATAGAGATAGCTTCTATTTGCTTAAGAATAGATTATTTTCCTCTTGTTGGTTTTGAAAGGAACTTATCACTACTGGACATATATTTGTTCTTTTCCTCCGGGGGTCTGAACCAAATGGAAGATGAAGATGCTTTTCCTTTTTGCTTGTTGGTTTTATAGGGAATCTATCACTACTGAAATGAATATGTGTTTCATTCTCCCTTACCGATCCGGGGTAATTTGAAGGGTTCCACCCAGGATGTCTTTTCTAACGTTTTGGAAAAAGTAGTTTGCCCAGACCTGATGAAGATTAGCAAGCGATCATCCCAACCATAAATGGGTGCAGCCTCCTTTTGAATTATTTACATGGTTCTTGGTAGACCATTTAGTGCAAGGTGTCGACTTGACTCACCTATTCTGTCGACAACGTCTTCTTGGTTCCCTGTACAGGGGCGTTGATCCAACTGGCCCGTGAGTATCCGGTTGAAGTTGATTGGGCCCAATTAAGAGGGAATCCTTCGCCTTTTTGTCGGGGAGTGGCACCTCCATGAGATGTTTCTGTAAGATGGTCCACCAGGCTTTCGTTTCCAAAAGGAAACCAACGTGGGGCTTCAAATGATTTACCCGCCCTGCATTTGTTGACACCCAGAAAGGGCCATTTGGTCTACTTGCCTGCAGTCATCCAAGGCTCAAAGGTTGCCTGGGCTCAGGTGACTTTGCTCGTGAAACGAGGGAAGCCTTTTTGGGGGAGGGTCGCAAAGTGAAACACGAAACCCTGCCTTGCGGAGGGCTCCTCTCGTTTGCACCGCTTGGAATGCATGCTTGAACCCCTACAGTGGTTGGCATTTACTTTGGGGGATTTTATCATTCCAGGGTTTCTGAACGGTGCGAACGGATGTCGCCCTTCCGCGACTTTGTTGTCTTTTTGGTAGTATTGATGCTTGGCTCCGTCGAAGCGAAGACTGGAAAGAGCAAAAAGCATGGACCAAAACTGGAAAACAAATAGGTTCACATGTCGACTCGCTGGGGCGTTTTCTTTTGAGGGTCCCATACCCATTAGACTCATACCAAAGGACCATGGGGCCACATCCATCCTTCAAACCACGTCCCCCAAATCATGTGCAATCCTAGGGCAAAGCGGCGAAACATGTATCTCTGAAATTGAAAGTCAACAGCGAGCTACAAGGTGAGTTTTGCCCGCGTCCCAAATTGTTTACCACCCAGCTTTAACCCCTTAACAATGGAATTGGGGGAGGGGGGTTGGCCCCTGGAATTCCATTTATGGTTCCATTTTCCGTTCTTTTGGAAGGCGGGAAAAATGGAAAGGGGAAGATCCTCCACACCCCTGCTCCAAAGGTAGGGTGGATGCGCAATCGACCAACAAACTATGGGTCAAAATAGGGCAAAGAGCCCCGAGATTATTGGTTGATCCTTGGGTTTTCCATTGAAAACATGAAAGGCTACCTCCCCATATTGCGGCGATGTTTTTTAAGAGTCTGAACCACCTCAAATTTCAATTGGTTGCTGGGCATGTGCAGCGCTTGAATGACGTCCACAATTTCCCCAAATACGCTGGGGGTTTGATGGCCGAATTCCAACGGCAAAAAGTGGGTTCTTGCAAAAGTGTGGTTGTTTGTCCTGGGGTGTCCATTTGAATCCACTCCAAAATGGGCAATTTCCCCATAGCAAAAGCTTCGGTGGATGCCCTTCTTGTTGCAAGGCCACCTTGTATGTTTCAGTCCTTAAGTGAGACAAGTGGTTGGCCCAATGATCCCAAGCAACCGCCAGAGTGTCATTTGACCTGTGACCCACAGGTCCTTACCACAAGCAAGAAAGCGGGCGAGTAAACCGACAGATGCCTTGAAATATCCCAAGGAAAGCAAACACCAATTGGAATTTACAGGTCGTCCTTCTTTTCTTGCAATACTGTGGCTGGACGAAATCCGTTGGCACCATCGTTCAGAAACCCCGGAATGATATGATTCTGCAACGTAAATGCCAATTAACATTATATGGGTTCAACCAGGGTTTCATTTGCGAACGGATCTTGTCTGCCGGAATAGGTATGCGCAAATTAGAGTCCAGGAGCCCCCAGTACATGAGCCTCATCACTTTTTGGGGTCCCCTAAAAGAGACACGCCCATAGGGCGTCCCCCCCTCCATCCCATCCGCCCATGTCTATTTCTCGCAGGCAGGGCCAGCGGCGGCAAGGACGGGGTGGTGTTGCCGAACGCCATGCGCCAGGAGGTGTGCGAAGCCCCAGGCGGATCCAGCCGAGAAGCGACCTGTTCGAAGGCTCAATGGTTCTAAGGGTTGATATTTTTACCTTTCTTCCGAGGGTCTTAACCAAATTCTAGGGGTTGATTCCTTTTCCATTCTTTTCAACCATCGTTCTTTCCAAAAAACGGATCCGTTTTCCCTGGGTTTCCGGAGGTTTTCTAGAAACAAGGATCCCTGGAAAGAATGGGGAAGGTACCCCTGGAATTGTTCCATTTCTTGGCAGTTCCCAGCCGTCCGCCTGGTTGTTGAGGGCTTTGGGGTTTCGAGGAGGTTTCCATTCAACCCACTGAAAGTTAAACTTGTAGCAGGGGATCTGAGGGCAGCCCCGTCACGGTTCGAAGGCTTTTCTTTTCAATTTGCTCGCTGGTTGGGAGGGAGCCGGAGTTCTGTGAGGACATGGGAGCTTGGGTGTGTCTTCTTTTGGAGTTGGCACCGTTTGTCCTCTTCTTTTTTTAGTGTGGGCCTGGTTCAAAAGTTCAAAGGAACCCAAAGGGAAACCGAAGACCGCCATTTTGGGTCGCCGGGTCCAATTTCTAGAAGAAGTCAAGCGACTCATGTCCTTTCTTCCCTGAGTCGTTCAAAGCAAATTAACCTTTTGACCAAAAGGGTTCTCGAGTCTGTCTTTTTTGTGAGGGTACCCGTTTTGGGAGGGTTTGAAGGGGAACCAAAGGGATTTGAAAGCCACCATTTTGTGGGTCCCATTTGAAAAAGATACGCCCATTTTTTGTGTCATGGCCCTATGACCGGTGATCGCCGAATCCCATCCGGGGCAAATGAGGTTCCAGCATCCAAGATTCTCGTAGGTTCTGGATTTATTGTATTTGCAGATGGACGCACCTTTTTGTGAGCCATGGAGGTCTAGACAGTTTCTCTTTCTTTGAGGGTTGGGTCCAAGAGGATTTCTCTCAAACCGCGTGGATGTCAGAACCAGGGGCCCGTTTGATCCAACAACTTGAACACTTGTGTTTTTTTCAGGGTTCGGACCCCAAGAAGGAGATTTGTCTGGACTTGTTGGTGTTTCTGGGCGTACCAATTCGTGAGCTTCGGTGTTCACAGCTTCTTGAGGGCCTTGGGGTTGGAATACGAAGCCCGAAATGCGGCCGTCCCATTTGGGGGGCTCCCGGGCGCCCATTGAGCCTGGTATGAGGTCCAACCTTCTGGACTACGCCAAGAGGCGGTTAGATGCATGTACTGAGGCGTCGATCCATCGATCGCGAAGGGACGTGGGGGTCAAGATGTCTGTCGGTATGTGGGTATGGGTGTGTGCTACAACAGGGGGGCCCCAAAACAATCCAAAAAACATGGTTTTCTTTTGGTTGACCTTTAAAATCAAGCTGAGCAGGTACCCTCAAACACAGACAAACAAAGGCAGACAGGCAGACAGACAGATAGACAGGCAGGCAGACAGGCAGACACGCAGCCACGCAGACACACACACACACAGACACACAAACACAGAAACACAGACACAAACACAGAAACACAGACACACGGACACACGGACACACAGACATGCAGACATGCAGAGACACAAACACACAGACACACACGCACACAGTGACCCACAGACACAGCCACAGCCACAGCCACAGACACAAACAAACAAGCAAGCAAACAAGCAAACACACCAGCGAGCGTGAATGTCCAGAAGGATATGGACAAGGCTTGCAAAATCGGCTTTCGTTTTCTCTTCTTCCTTCGAAGCAACCTCAAAATAGCACGCAAAGAAGCAAGCAGCGTTGAAGGGGGTTAAACTTTTGAATTTTGCCGAGGGGTCGACAGAAACCAAGACCAGATGCAAACCATTTCTTCAAGGACAACGCTTCTTCGAGGTTACTCCAATGCAGCCCCTTTCTAGTGGGTGCCAGGGATGGCAATGGGGCCCGCGCATACCCTGTATATGTTGTTCATATAGTTTAGCATCCCTACAGTCCTCATGGCCGCATGATTTTTCAAGGGAGTAGTGCTTTGGAGCTTTCTGGGGGGGGGGGGAATTACCCTAGTCTTTAATGCCGGCATGTGATACAAAACAACCCGCTGATTGAAGACGCCCAATGTTTGCGGCTGACTGAAAAAAAGAAGAGGCATTGTTTGGCCAAAAGGCTCTGAATAGTTGCTTGGCACCTCCCAGAACCCCCTCTGATTAAAGACGTCCTTTTCCGACTAAAGTTCCTGAGACACAAAAAGTATAGTTTTTTAAATTGCCATTGCCAAATCTATTATTGCCAATACTTGTGCG